ATAATAATAATATTAAAAAATAAACAATCGTGAAACTAAGCTAAACTAAGCAAAAAAATGCACTTTAAACAAAATGAACTAAAAGTAATAAAAAAATTATTGAAAGTTATTGAAAATACAGCCATTTCAATATATTATATAAGCACAAATGTTCTAAGTCTAGTAAAAGWCAATTATTTCAAATTAAGGAAATAGTTGTGCTAATTGCCTCCATTTCCGCATGCAAATGTTAGTCTAAAGAAGAAAAAAACGTTGACTTTGGTCGCAGTGAAGCTAAAACAGCCTTCACAATTAACCAAGYTTTCCATAAGTAGCAAAACGTGACTTTGATCGTTCAGTTTGTACGGCAGCTATATGATATAGTAATTCGATTTGTAAAATTTTCTTCGGAGATTATAGCATTGCTTTGGAAAATATCCATGCCGAATTTCGTAAAGATATCTTTTSAAATAAAAAGGCTGTCTTTACAAAAAATAAAGTTTTCATGAACTCGGCATACTGCCACACTAATATTATTATTATAAATGATATTTCTAATACAAATATCGCATGTTGTTGACACCGACACACTTTACTTAAACCGTAAAATTTTYAAATTCACAACTTTTCTTTTACTGCTCGCGATAAGTGAAAGGAATGGTTTGCTTGTGGCCAAAAATAAATGAAATATCGATTTTTTTACATACTTATATCAATTTATCTATATATGTATATATGTACATACATATACATACACATATGGTACATATATAGTATAAGCCCGCAATTATTTGATGGCGTCAACTTTAATTTTAAAATAGATAAAGTTAAAGCTCGTTTTTCCTGCGCAAAAATTTCTTAAGTAATTAAGCGGAGCGTAAATTGCAAGTAGAGTTACCAAGTAAGACAGCGATAAAGCACTTGGCTCACTGCACCCACCCGCTCGCCGCTTTGTTGTTTATTTACGCAATTGTCGCACAACTTGAGTTTACTTATTTTCTTAACACGTTTGGGGATAGCAGCAATCCAGATTTCAAATAAAGTTAAACGAGTTTGACAAATTTAAATCGCATATTTATTATGTACATATGTATAGACTATATGCATGTGTGTGTGTGATTGTAGGATAATATTTTCTGATTGCGGGCTGTTTGCATATTTAATGATAATTTAATTGCAGTAAATACAGTACTTAAGTTATAATGTAATAATCATTAGTCGAGCGACAACTTATGACATGGGCAAACACAACTACAAATATATGTACATATGTATATACATATGAAATATTGACATGTATAGGTATATGCACATAGCGATTCGACTATTATTGAGGCGGAAATTTAACTATTGTCAATATTACAAGTAAAACTTTCAACTGTAATTGATTTCGTTTAAGAACTTAGTATATACAGATATACGTATACGCATACATACATATACATACATATACGTGTATCAATTTTACACGATTGCTAAGTTTCTGAAACGACTTTTTTTTTTAAATTTGCAAAGCATCGCTAAAATTGTCTATAACTCTCCAATTTTGGAAATGTTTTTATAAAATTTTCAGTAACATAAAGCTCTCCCTTTTAAGACTACAATTTTTTGAATATGCAAGATAACGTCAGAAATTTTTTCCTCACACAGCTAAGCGGTTTTGCCCTCAGATATATACAAATACAAATATACAAGTTTCAGAAATATTATATATTTAAATTTATTTATTTTGAAAATTTAAAACATCGTGAAAATTTTAGAAAAAAATGTTAAATGTCTGCTTAATTTTTGAAATTTTTTTCTTAGAAAAATTTTTAAATACTTGAAAAAAAATGTTGAAAA